TGAATGATGCCAAATTGGGTAATGGGGTATCAGTAAATATCGGAATTTGATATTGACTGATATTCTTTAAAAAAATATTCAAGGTATTATTGGCATAATTATAAGTTAATAATATTCTTAGCATTTTTATCATATAATCTAAAAGCCTATTAGTAAATATTGAAAGTGCCAATATTTATCAGATATTCTAAAATTAATCCTATTTTTTAGTTAATTATTGGCTTAATTTAATAAACCAATAGCTTTTTTATATTGTAATTAAGTTATTGGTTAAATATTTCTAAAGCTCTTTGTACTAAAATAATATCATAATCTTTGAGGATTTCTATTCAAATAAGTTTACTCGAAACAAATAAAACCGAATAGAGCAAATAAAACCAAACAAAATGATGAAACGAATAAAACGAATAAAACAAATAAAACAGATAAAACCAAACAAAGCAAATAAAACCAAACAAAAAATAAATAATATATAAATTAATCAAATAAATAAAAATAATATGTATGTATAACGTCAATCATTTCAAAAAAAAAATTTTTTTAATCAAATGTCTCATTTTTTTCATCTCATGCTTCCCAAAAAATTGTGTCTAGTAAAAATTGATTTTTTATTAGCTCAATGCTCACTCGATCTGTTCGATCGATCGATCGATAGTTCGCTCATGTATAATGAGCACTCATCTACAACGTCTTATTTCCCGTACCACTGTTTATTTGCAAATATAGGCAAACAACAAATTTATTTTAAAAAAAAAAATAAAATACCAAAATCATACAATCTATCCCAAGTAAGGAAAAAAGCAGTGTTACGGGTTTTGAGTAATCTTTTATAAGTGTTAATTATATGCTGGAACACATAGTACCGATGATTTTATCTGCCCGATCATGTATCACGTTATTAATATTAATATAAGAAATGTTTGAGTTTAGTAGTAAATGAGGTTGTGAGAACTGAATTTGTATTCGGCAAAAAAAAAACTTGGTTCCTTGGGAACAACTGATGAAATAAAGGAGAGATTGGGAATACATAATTTATAAGTTTTTTTTGAACTTTTATACCATTAAAAGCAATTTTACTTGCGTCATTTTTGACTTAATTGCAGCGAATTTAACGTAATATTTGTGACAACTTGATAACCTTTCGTCAAACAACATTATTGCGAGGTAGTCTTTTGATTATTTTACGTTTATGGCCGAGTTCGGGTTAACTTTCGAGATACACTTGTCGATACATTCCAAGTTTTTATATTCAATGTTCGTCAATTAAATTACTTTACGAATTTATTAACAATTCTTGCTTTCTGCCTCTTTTTTGTGCCTAGAAAGTTTCGGCAAATCTGCAAGCACACTTTATGATACAAACAATTCACAATAAATAAATATGATTCTTTTATAAAGCGGCAAATGCTTTTCTAAAGTTCCTTCTTTATTATTTTTAATTACTTTAACACTAACAACAATATGTGATAACGACTTTAGTTAATAACTGTCAGCACTTTATATTCGATTAATCGTTAAACTTTATACTTTGCCAAGTAGTTTTAACACTTTACACATTTACAAAAACGTAAACAAAAACTTTTACACTTGACAAAACTTAAAATTAAACCTTTGCTTCTTTACTAAGCAAATAACCTTACCACCCGTTGTTAACAACTACACTGGTTAATCAACACTAATACCGAACCCCAGAGCTTTAGACCAAGGACAATTAAGCCCCACTGTTTAATTCCGATTGTCCGGGGTCCTAT